TTGGCAGCTCTTGCCCTAATGCTCAGCTAATAGTTGTCTGTTCCAGGCGCTGTCCAAACGCATACTATAAATCAGAATCCAATTACTGTGGTAAGAAAATCGCAAGCAAATTTAATAAGCTCCGGACCCCTCCCACGTGCTGCTTCTTCCCTCTTCTCTTTCCAATAATGAGAACTCTTCAAGGGGGAGAAAAAGGCTTTTCCCTTTAACTCTATGACTGTTCTCTCCATCTCTCATACGAAGCTCCTGAGGGTCAATGGATGATGAGAGGGGGCTTCTTTTAGCTCCCCTTTGTGTCTCTGCGTGGAAGGCAGGTGGGAGGAAGTGGTCAACGGTCTTCCTGACCTGTCTTTTATTTATTCAATGGACGGATATTGGATCCCTATCACACAGCGGACACTGTAATAGATGTTCAATGTGTTCTTTACTCTACAGCGCAATTGACTCCGAACTAGCAGGACCTCTGCTGCGAGGCAGGACGGGGATACAAACTGGCTTAGCAGGAGTAAAGCCTGCCTCAGTGGGGCTCAGTCCCATGAATGAGCCAGGCAGCGGATGGAGGTCACTGGCCCTGGGTTAAGGTGGGACAGTGTAGCGGACACTCAGGAGCAGTGATGCCAGTTGCCAGACGGATGGCAGGATGAGGATGGTGGATGAAGTCAGAGGAGAGAACAAGAGAAGCCAGCCTCTACACGACCAGAGTCGGGAGCCCTGACACCTGGACAGAGGGAGAGGTACACAATACATGGACAGTTGGGTGCACTTATCTCCCAGGGCCTCTACTCTCTCCTTAAAATTCAAGCCTTTTGGCAGAACCAGCTCATACATGGACTCCATCGAGACACAGAAGTGGGCTGCCAGAGCTAGCCAATGCTTCCTAGTTTCTAAAAGGGCAGACCTCAGAATCGCCTGAGGTCTTGCTAAGCCAGAGAGCTGAGATTTCCTCCAAGGTGGGTAGGTGAAGCCTAAGAATGCACATTGCCAACACATTCCCAGCTGATGCTGTTGTGGTTGGCCCTTTGGTCTGAAGAACCAGGCTTTGAAAGCCATGGCAAGTCCTTGCTGTTCAAAGTGTGACCCACAGACCATAGTCATCGCTGTCACTGGGGAACGTATTAGACATGCAGAATCTCAGAATTGAAGAGAAGATATGGTGGCTAAGAGCACCTGCTACTCTTCCAGAGGATCCAGGCTTGATTCATAAGACCCACACAGCAGCTCAGTATTACCAACAGTTCAAGTTCTAAGGGATTTAAAGCCCTATTTTGGCCTCCTCCAACACATGTAGTATTCACTTTCTCATACACACAGACACACATAAATAAAAATTATAAAAAAACAAACTTTAAAAAAAAGAAGAAAAGAAATGCAGACTCTTGGGCCCCAGCCTAGATCTTCTGAGTCGGATGCAAAGAGTCCTCAGATGACTCGTCTATTTGCCTGTTTAAGTCTGAGAAGCCCTTACCCAGAGCGGCTGCCCTCAAGTCTTGCTGCTCATTAGAGTCACTTGGGAGCTGAGCAAGGACACACTTGAGCTGATTGGAGTCTGGGTATCAACATATTTAAAAGGCTGCCCAAGTGCCTCTCATGAGAAGCCCGGATTGAGAGCTGCTCAGACCGACGCTGAATAGCCAACATGCCACACCGTGTTGCTCAGCCTCATCTCTCTGGCGTCAAGCCTGACCTTGAACCCCACCTCAGTTCTTCCCTATCCCACTGCCACACCTGACCGTTTAGCATCTTCATTCTGGTTTCAGGCCGGTGCTTCATTAGTTGGTTTACTCATCTCTGGTTTTCTACCAGAGTGCTTCTCTTCCACACGAGGCTGGGCCGTCATTGCACAGTATTTTTTTTTTCTCTAATGTTAACTATAAAATAGGTCAATGCTGTCTACATATTTTATTTGATCCTTATAGCAACCAAAGTAGGTGGGAATCATTCCTGTTATTTTTATCCCTGCTTTTCAGAAGAGGAAAGCAAGGAGTAGAGAAAGTTAGTGAGTCCATTCATCTAACCGGCTGCACAGCCAGGATGAGAAATGACTGTCTGATCCCAAAGACCCCTGTCCTGACCCTCTGGTGACCCTCTTACATTGCTTTCAACTTCACTCTGCTTTACACAGGGGGACTGGCCTGACCTACTGCTGGTGATGGACTGGTGATAAATATTTTCATTTCACTTCTGAAGATTTGGATAAAAAGCAAGGCCAGATTTACAGTAGTGATCCTCATTGAAATTTTGTCCTCCAGGAAAGACATATGGGAAAGATATTTTTGGTTATCACAACCTGGTGTGTGTGTAGGGGGGAGGTACGAGAAGGTTATTGGCATCTAGTAAGTAGGAGCCAGAGAAGCTACTAGAATCCTGTCATGTTCAGAACATCCCCTCAGTGAGGAAATCATACAGCCAAAAATGTCAGCAGTATGGCTATTGAGAACCTCTGGCCACTGTTAGCTATGCCAGTCATGGCTGAGGCAGGCAGGGCCCCCAAGTGAGTCCCAGGGTTCTATTGGTCTGGGTGGACAAGCTCCTGGGACGACATTCGTATCCACCAGGGAGACTGGACTCACAGCAGGATTAGGAAACTTGGCTGGTGACTCCAGCCATAGAATGATGGTTTCCATAATCAGGGGCTGGATGAGGATGATCATGTGGCTAGGACATCACCCAGTGGTTTGAGTTTGAAGGAAGAACTCCGACAGGGCTTTGCGGGCATACTATGGGAGTCTCAAGATCACAAGAGTACCACCAGCAGGGGGCAGCACTCTACTAGACTCAGCCTGGGGCTGGACGATCCGATTGGTACCTGCCATAGGGCCAGACTAGGACTTTGCACTCAGTGAATACTCAAGGCTCCCAAGACAACTTCTGGTTCTAGTCACCCACCCCAGTTCTGAGTCCTCTGATCTCCACTCTCCTGGGTTTTTTTTTTTTTTCGAATAAAGTTCCCCGAATCCAGAATCTTCCAAATGGCACCCTTCCAACTCCTGCAGGGTAAGGCTGTTGCCCTGAGGCAAACATATGGCTAATATTCTTTCCCCTTTTGTCTGGATTCCGTCTCAATCCTCTCTGCCCTTCTTGCTATCTCCGTGCGGACCACCATTCTTTAACAGATGGAGTTCTGCGTAGGTGCCCGAGCCCAGAGCTGGGTGGCGAGCTGGGCTCTTTGAGGGACAAGCTCAGCTCTTCATTGCCCTGCTACCCCAAGTCTGGCCTTGGTACAGACGTTCGTTTCTGCTTCACAGATCAGAGAAAAGAGAGAGGGCAGAACTCAACACGCTCAACTGCTTGGTGAGCTCCTGGGGCATCCTCCGGTGGCTAGAGCAGCTGTGACGGCACTCCAAGGGCTCTCATCCATTCACCTTTTCTGCCCAGGACAGTTTCAGTTTCCTTCCTGGGTCATGGGGTGGGCTGGGGGTGGTGGTGGTGGTGGCATCCAGAATCAGAACAAGAAAGCGACTACTTGCCTGAGACCTAATGGGGCTTCTCAGCCTGCTCTCTGCTCCGTTTTGCCTGCTCTCCCACACATAGTTTCGGCTCAAGGAAATATAATAACTTGATATTTAAATTTTGCTCAGAGAGGAGTAACAGGAGAAAGGTTAGGGCATTCAGACAGCAAGATTGAAAAGAATTTCGATGGGACTCTGACTTTAAGACAGTTTAGGCCAGTAGGAGGGAGGAGGCGGGGCCTCTGGCTACAGGGGACATGGGCACTACTGCTTAGGTAGACTTTCATAGCACCTTTTAAGGAGAGTTAAATTTACAGATGGCTATCACCCAGTTTGTACTCTTTGCTGTATTCACATGGACACCAAGACTCCAGCTCCATGCAGTAATGGCAGTGACCAACAAGGACTAGTTGAATGTCTCTATGGGACATGGTACAAAAGACGAGATTTCCAGGTCCTGCAGCCCCGCTGTGGAAACTGAGTCTGAATAATTCCACATAGTACATGCTCAAGAATTACCAATAAAATAAACCTCAATCATTATACAAGCCCATTTGCACCCCACAACATGGGGACCCAAATAAACAAAAGAGGCAAAGCTAAGAGTCTAAAGTCAATACTCTGTACCTTAAGTCAGTGCTATGCCCTTCCAGGTGAACTGCCTCTGAGTGTTTCCCACCCCAGTGGCCAGATTGCTGTTGGAGTGAGCGCAGAGTCAGTGTCATGAACCAATCAAAGTCATCTCTGTGTGACTCTTTGGCATGTCTGGGCCAAAGCATGGAGGCTGGGAGGGGAGAATCGGGTTAGGACCAAACTACTTTCTCCCACATCAGTAGGAAGCATAGGGACTACCAGGGCTGAGGGAGCCGTTGATGAGACAATACAGCATCCATTTTCACAAAGCCTCTTTCTGCGGAAACAAAGCTTTCTACATCAGATTAGGCCTGCTCTCTGTCCAGTTCTGGAGCTATGGCCCATCCAAGCCAGTGGCAGCAAGGAGGCTGTGGGAATGGAAGACAGACAGGGCAGGCAGACAGGAAACCAATGTCAAGTGAAGAGACCCCTAGATTCTCTTCTCATACGCAGGCTGCTACAGAAAGGGTTTCTCCTAGTGACAGGAAAGACAGCGATCTGGGTTCCCGAGGATATACCCATCAAGTCCTTCCACTTAGAAAGCCAGGCTGGGCTGTGAGACTTAGCCAGGGGAAGCCAGGCCCAGCCTTTTAGTGTTCCGTGAGCATTATAGAATGTAGCACCTATAGCGCTCACCAAGTGAGGGGCAGGTGCTCCCTCTATGATTGGCCGCACGCCCTCTTCAACCTCCAAGCAGAAACCAGGGTCTCTGGAATGGTTTGTGGCAAAAATCAGTAAGTAGCACAGATATTTTACTCATTATGTCACTTTGGTGTCTGATGGCAGAAACTAATCCACTTGTTTCAGTTCCTAGCACTGGGTGCTAAGTACTGCAGGCCCCTAAATCAAGCCTGTGCTAATCTGTCCTGGCCACAGAGAAGAGTAAGGTACCTACACAGGAGGAGGAGGAGGAAGTACCTCTTATGACGTGTGTCCGGGACAGCCCGATTGCTGGAGATCCGCTCGCTCTCCCGCTGGTTGAAAGCGTACAGCTTGTAGGGGTCGTCGCCAACGCGCCACTTCTTGGCGTTCAGATACCGCCGCTCATCAAACTGCTCCCACAGGTCATCCCAATCCGCATCAGAAGGCTGTGTGACATGAATGGAAAGTCTGTAAGAAGGCTCCCTGCTCGCCGTTAGCTCCCATCCATCTGTCAGCAACCAACTAGAGACTAGACATGTCCTGGCAATGATGAGCTCAAACATGGCACCAGGGGGCAGAATCTCAGCAGAAACACCAGCAGTAACAATCACATACAGAACAGTCATAATATTGCTCATCATCAAGCACCACATACCAGGTGCTGTCCTAGGACCATAGCTCCCACGATCTCATATGATCCTGACACATGTGCTCCGATTTTCAACGTAACAGGTGAGAATTCAGTCAGATGGAAGCACTGTGCCCAAGATCCCCACGTAGAAAGTATCAGGACCTGGGCCTGAATTTTGGTACCCTGACCGAAGAGACCATCTTCCCAGGATTATGTTAGAACATTCTATGCTACAAGGTGGGCCACAATGACTATTCTTCTCTCCTCTGCACTTCGAGAGGCAGATTCAGGAAGTAGGTCATCAATCAACAATGGTGTGTGACCCACTAGACACCTTGGTCCCTTGGTTTCTCCAACCCAGGAACCCATAGCCACTCTTAGGAAGTATCAGCGGGAGAGTGGATAATAAGCATGTCATTGTGTGTGCATGAGGACACAGGACTTCAGAATATGAAAGGTGACATCAACTTAAATAAATTTTTGCATACTCAAACTCTCTGGGCAGAGTAGGGAAGAAGGGACTGACCCTAGAAAGGCCACCAGTCTGGCAAGTGGTAGGTCTCGAGGCAGAGCTTAGCCTTCTGGATTCTTCCAAGAGGAGAGGAGAGGGGCTGCCTACCCATCAGAGCCCATGATACCTGGTCTACCCTACCAACACCAAATCTACAGCCAATAGTCTTCCTACCCAGCTAGCGGGGCTGAGTATCCTGGCCTGGACCTTGGCAAGCTGGATGCTTGCACTTGGCAGCCATTTCTGAAGAGATGAGACCATGAGAAAGAGTAGTCTATACCCCAAACACCCAAACCTTTCAATTCCATCTAAACCACAAATGCTGCACCTCCAGGAAGAACTTCCTGATGGCCTCAAATGGGATAACTAATGTCCAGGGGCCGGCACTGTTATCAAGAAAAGGTTGCTCATTCCCATGACCCTAACAGTCGGGAGCAAGTGTCTCACATTGCACAAATCTTAAGGGAGAAGAGACCAGCTACTCTGTCACAGAATTCTAGCTGTTTCTGCACACAGACACCCAAGCCAGAGGTACAGGGTAGCCTTAATGACAGTTGCACAGGCCCTGTGGCGGGGAAAGAGGGGTTATACCAGCCTGCATGCTCATCTCAGGCACCGTGAGATCTTATCTGGTAATTGATCTCTCTAGTCCTCTTTGTTATCTCTGTTTGAAGCAGCATTTTCCTCTAATAGCATAAAATGAAGCTCTGGAAACCGACGACTTTTATCCAATAATTGATTTTATTAGTGTCTAACAATACTGCTTGCTCCAGAACATGCTAGGGGGGGAACTCAGGTGGGCGTGAGAAACCTACAACCTGTGCTGAGCCATGTCACAGCTTCACAGATGTCACCTCTGGTGGGAACATCACCCCAGGGTAACCCTGACATCCCATCCTCATGGGAAGGGTGGTAGAAATGTCTTCCATTGGCTCACTGCCAACTTAATTCATTACCATTCTCTAAATAAGTCGTAACCCTTGCAGCGCTCTGAGTTAAAGGGGAGGGAGGAAGTGACAGCAGTCTCTGTCCTAGAGAGGTCCTGCTCTGTGTGTTGGTACACACACATACACACACACACACACACACACACACACAGAGAGAGAGAGAGAGAGAGAGAGAGAGAGAGAGAGAGAGAGAGAGAGAGAGAGAGAGACGAGAGACCAGTACCACACTACAAGGTGAACTCAACCACATAAGCTCAATGACAATGTGTTTTTACAGAGGAGCGAAGGAAACAGAAAACAGTTCTTAGAATAAGGGTCAAAGAAGTTAGACCTTGAAGAATGGGTAGGGAATGTATAGCAAAGGAAGCCAGATAAAAGGTGGTCCATTCATGAGTGTGCCGTAGAATACCAGAACCAGTAGTGTGCATGTGTGTACAAGAATTTATAAAGCCAGGCTTGTTGGCACAGACCTATAATCTCTGTGACCTATGAAGCTGGCTGCATCTGTGTGAGGCCCTAGATTCAATTCCTTAATACTGAAAAAAAAAAGCTTATAGATCATGAAGAATTTGCTTATGTCCTTATGAGGCTGACAAGATCTTGGGTGGGTCCCATCTCCAAAATATTTGACCAAATGCCTGGGCATCCTGTGGCCCAGTTGCATTGGTATAAAATGAACTATCCAGAGGACATATGCATAGAGGAAAACTCTGGAAAAGAGCCAAGTCTTAGAAAGTAGGCTATAGGGAAAATGGCGCTGGCCACATATATGGGATGAAGTAGAAGGAAGAAAAATTTCACAAAATGACCAGTTGGGGAACGACCTTGACCGATCCTGATGTCTGAACTGGGGTCTTGTGGCTGGAGAAGCAGGTGGAGGACCAGGCACCCGTGGTAACCAGAGGCTGGAGGTAGGGGTGCTACCCACCTCTTGAGCCTCATCCCAGGCCATACTCCATTTGCATCAAGCAGAGGCATGGAGCCATGAGGGCAGGAGGCCAGGGGTCTCTTGGCCTGGCTCTCTCCACCCACAGGGAGGCTGAGCATCCCTGGTATCTCTGGCAGACACTGTCTTTGTGGAGAAAGGTGCCATGAAGACTCAGCTGGAATTCTGGCCCCAGAATGCAAGAGCAGCAGCCAGCTGGTAGGATGAATCTTACAAAGAGTCAGTAGGAGGCAGCCTTGGAGGGGACTTTTCCTCTCAGGATGTTTAGATGTCCCATGTTAGAGATCATTCACAGCTTGCTGCACCAAGACCCCCTCTCAAGGCGGGCAGCCTGTCCTGGGAGCTGATCTTTCCCATAGGGACATCTGAATGTATTATATGATGGTGAAGGTGTCTTCAAAATGGTAACAGTAACATTTTATGTTGTATATGTGCATATAGATAGCCACAGATTCCTTACACAATTGATCCCCATCTGTGCAGGGAGGGAGGGATCTACTTAGAGGAGTCGGTACGTGGCTTGCACAAGCTCATCAGCTTGCAAGGGATGGGACCGTTGATTAAGTACTTAATCCTACTGCAAAAGCTCCTGCCTCCACAGACAGGTTCAACAGGAGGGTAAGACAGGTACCAAGGGCCAAAATGGGTTCAGCAAGGGCCTCGGAGCCTGTGGAGAGCCTTCGGCACTGGGACAGTGCCCCCCCATAATGGCTTACTTCCACATCAAATGGGCACTGACATGGATAGTCTATGGAATTCCACTCCTTAGAGTGATGCTTGCCAGGTACCATCTATACCTTATTTTATATCACCCTTCTCCGTCCACCCTCACCAGTCTCAGGATAGACGGCTCCTCTTAGAAAAGTAGATAGTGTAGAGCCTGAGCAGGAAGCCATTGTAGGAGAGAGTCTTCGCCCCATCCAGGCACTGCCGCAGAGTTCTGAGCGCTTCCAACAGTCTCCGTCTCTGGCTTCTCATCCCTGATGAAAGAAGCAGGACCACTAGGAACTGGTGCCACGTGTGTCTTACCGGTGGCAACGGTGTGCAAGGCCATGGCCTATCTCCCTTGCCTCCTCTGTCCTGGTGTAGTAGGTATGCCCTGTCCTACTTGTGTTACATGAGAAGCACATCTCAGACTGATCTCTACAAGCTCATCAAACTCTACAGAGTTCATACGCAGACCTGTGTGGTCTACTGCACCATCCATCCTCCAGCCCCTATGCCCCTCCACTTTATCCTTGGTCAATTTTATGTTCTCCGATGCAGCTGTTACCCAAGCCTTGCCTTCGATACGAGATGTCTGCGTGTCCGAGGAATGACATCAGTGCCCAGTTTTCCGTCATTGTTGCTTCTTTTCAAACATTTCTTTTAGATTTATTTTATGTACGTGAATCTTTTTGCCGGCATGCCTGGGTGTGTGCCACACGTGTGCCAGTTGAGGACAGAAGAGGGCATCAGAACCCCTGGAACTGGAGTTACAGATGGTTGTGAGCCACCATGTGGGTGCTGGGAATCGAAACGGGGTCCTCTGCAAGAGCAGCCAGTGCTCTTACTCACTGAGTCCTCTCGACACTCCCAATTTGCTGATTCTTGAATGTATTCTTGTATTAGAAAGAGCTCCCCTGAAAAACAGAACCACTCTCTCCCTGCCTCTCTTTCTCTCTCCATCTCTCTCTCTCCATCCCTGCCCCCTCTCTCTCCCTCACGGTCTGTCTGTCTCTCTCTGTGTGTGGGCGGGGGAGTGGGGAGAAAGGAGCAGGAACAGACTTATGTTAAGGAAACAGCTCATGCACTTATGACTTGCAACCTAAGGCCAATGGCAGTCTTTGCCAGCTGAATTCCTTCTTTCTGGGAGAGGGAGAGGCCAGTCTTCATCTCCTAAAGCCTCCAGCTGAAGCCCGCCCACACTTTGGAGTAGAATCTGCTTTACTCACAGCCCACCAATTTAAATGTTACTGTCATTCAAAACCACCTTCGGAGAAACATCCATGATAGTGTTGGACCAAATACCCAGACCCTGTGGCTTTCACAGCACCCCTACTGTCGCAGCCTCAGAGGGAAGCAGATTTGAAATCCAACAGGAAATTATAGCCCCAGCCCAGTTTTCAAATGAGGAAAATAAGATATGGGGAAGATAAATGATCTGCCCAAGTTCCGAGAAGGTGTATGCTCTCCAAGCCTGAACTAACCCTCCACGTCTCAATAGACGGTTTCTAAGCCAGCTGTAGGGGACTGGAGCCCCACCTGCTCACACCGAGGCTGTTTCCAGGACCACAGCTTCTGGCTCTCCAGGGCTTCCATCCCCCCCCCCCCCCGTGCCCTCCGCCCCCCCCACCCCCCCACCCCTCACCCCCCCACCCCCCCGTGCAGTCCTGCTTCCCATCCACTGTGTTCTTGCTGCTCCAGAACCA